CTTTCTCCACCAAGGTTAAGGTGCTTTTGTTAGGTAAGTATAAGTTTTAGTTATGAATTTTGGGTTAGAGTTTTGGGTAGTTTAAATTAGTGAGATTTGATTTTAATTCTTTGATTTATAAGATTTTTGGGTATTAAACCTTTATTAGAAATATCATTAATTTTGGGCTTATATGGCAAAAATAGTGAGTTAGTCCTTTCTATTGTTTGATTTGGGTGTGATTTTTGCTGCAGAAATTAGAAGTAAATTGGATTATTTACGAATCACTGTTCATGATTACTGTTCATGGATTACTGTTCACCAATTACTGTTCACGCATTATGCTTTGATCTCTTTCAATAGGAAATCCTAATATTATTTTGGACATATTATGAATTTGTTTGACATGTGTATGTGTTTGTGGTTATGGAGGAAGTGGACCTAAGCTTAAAGCTTGGGGTATTCAGTGGACCCTTCAGGGTATTTAGTGGACCTCTGCGCAGTAGGGTTAGTACCGTGATTAGCTCCAGTACAGTGTTGCTAGCACACCTCAGTGGACTCTATAGCATTGTGTGATTTTCGATTTTATTCATTGCGCTTGTGACATCGTATTTGTGAGCATATGATTTTAGTATATGAATTCAATTTAAATGTCATTGATTATTCCTTGACATTTGTGCTTATGATTTGATTCCGTTGTGTCTTATGCTTTTGTGTGGATAGGTCTAAGGGTCTTAGGACCCAAGTTTATAGCTTAAACTTATTACTTACTGGGCTGTGAGCTCATAAAATCCCCCCTCATTTCAGATCAGTAGATCGAGGTAGCAGTCTCTCGGTTTATGAGCTTTTGGCGCGGGACTTGCATGCTCGTTGTATGTACAAGCTAGGGCCTCGTGTTTTCGATAAGGAGGCAGATCGATGTGTTACCAAAACCATGACTCAGCTTTTGTTTTTTTGAAAAGCTTTGAAGAAGAATTTGCCTCATATGGTTTTTGTGTAAATTAGCTTTATGTATAAAACTTTTAAATTAATTATAAATGAGCTTAGTTCGGCTTATTTTATAACTTTGAATATTTTGGCATTTTCCAATATATATATGATATTCTTCTTATTAAATTGATTTTCTGAATACCAGCTTTCTTTAGAAGGAATATTTTACATCATAAGTGTTTTTACTTCCGCTGCAATTCTTTACTATAAATTTTGTGTCCGAACTCTTCTAGGACTAAGAGTGCCTAGGGAGGTGTGTTATAGAAAATCAGTGAGGGTTTATGCAAAAGAAAGTGATGTCAAGGCTGCGTTCTTTGCAAAGCAGCCTATGTTTGTGCTTCTGTATAAAGATGCTTATTTCAACACTAACGAACTTAATGATTCTTTGCCTAGTGCTGTCGAATCTCTTTTGCAGGACTTCAAGGATGTGTTTCCAGATGACGTTCCTAATGGTTTACCACCAATAAGAGGAATCGAGCATCAAATTGACTTCATTCCTGGTGCAACAATTCCAAACCGACCAGCATATCGTAGCAATCCCAATGAGATGAAAGAACTTCGAAGGCAGGTCGAAGAACTCATGAAAAAGGGACATGTGAGAGAAAGCATGAGTCCATGTCCAGTTTCAGTGCTACTTGTGCCTAAGAAGGATGGGACTTGGCGTATGTGCGTTGATTGTCGTGCGGTCAACAAAATCACTGTAAAGTATCGTCACCCTATTCCTAGATTAGATGACATGTTAGATGAGTTGCATGGTTCTTGCATATTCTCTAAAATTGATTTAAAGAGTGGATATCATCGGATTAGGATGAAGGAA